TTTACTATATATATATATATATATATATATATATATATATATATATATATATCGAGGGTTTTTTTAACTTAAAAACAACTTTTTATAATGGATTTTTTAAGTGCACCTTAATTCTACATTTTAAGGTTGCAGACTTATATAAACTTTTTCCCTTTGGATGGGTTTTTGTTTTGGAATGCAATGCTCTTTCTACATATAATTACTCCAAACTCGTCTTTAACACAATTTTACCATGGATAATTACTCCAAACTCGTCTTTAATTCTAAAGAAGAGTTCAGTAAACAATTCTTTGATAAAATAAAACTTAAATATCAAACAATGACGTCTTTGAGAGCAACTAAACAACTGATGGTAGTGTTTCCCCCGCCACTTCCAAGACCACGAGAATTCCAAGTATAGTCCGGGTCGAGAGTTCCATCTCTATATACATAGTGCCCCTCGTCTTCAAGCATAGTCATGGGCAATCCCCGAAAATGCGATAAAGGATGGTCCAATATTGGATGCAGTGGTACGCCTCTGTGAAGTTAGGAAGCATACAACAGAGATGAGAGATCTAAACTAAGTACCACAAACTCCCCACCGGTCCATGTGAGTTACTAAACAAAGTCCAAAGTCTTTCAAAAGTCTTTAAAATAATATAAAAAAGTTAAGTAAAAATTTGAAAAATAATAAAAGTAAATTCAAATTTAAAACACTTTTAAAATTTTAAAACAATTTAACAAAAGTAGAGAAATATAAAAAACAAAAAACAATTTACAGCTTAGGATAATTTTCAGGCCATTTTCTTGGTCTTTTCATATTTTTAAAGATTTTCTTCACTTTTTTTATTTTTGGTAGTTTAGTGGTAGGAACTGAATTTGAGATGTACCATTGCTTGACGTCAACTGCCAACCACTTAACTGCAAGCCCAAGCCCACTTCCTAAACATTTTATTTACATTTTAAAATTGGAAGGTACAAGGATACACTCAATAAAATTAGAAACCATATGTATTCAATAAAATGACCAAAATACCTTTAAATGTTTAAGAGATATTTTGATTATTTTTAATTATTTTTTTAATTTTAATTGAATGCACCCTATAAAGATGCATTTACCCAATTTATGAATGACATTTATAAAAATAAAAATAGAAAAGAAACGATGAAATCAATACGTAGCCCTCAAATCTGCCCACTATTGAAAGGTATTTGTGCATACTTAGGGTCCATATAACTTCTCTCAATTATACACATGATACACTATACTTTTCCTATAGGGTGCGGTCTCTATAAGGTCGCAACCTTAAACAATCCAATTAACGTGCATCTACAAATTTTATCATAACATGTAATTTTCTTGTAAAAAATTCTTCAGATTATTTTAAAATCTATTTTCATATCTAATTAGAAAATTTTAAACTCCAAAAATAGTTAAAATCAAGGAGATCTATAAACATATGAAAATCTTGAAAATGGACCGCCTAGATAATGTTTTGAAAGATGCACTATTTCTGAGACTCAAAAACTTTTTTTTTTATATTCATACATCTCGATGTCGAGATGATCAAATAGAGGGTTTTTCAACATTAAAACAACCTTTTCGATAGATTTTGAGGTGTATCTGTAATTCTGCATTTTAAGGTTGCAACTTTATATAAACTTTTCCCTTTCCTATATCAGTAACTTATAGAAGACACGCATTATAAGGTTACATACTTTCCCTATAACAATATCACAGAAGAATAATAGAAGGACACGGTTTCTATGCAGCCAGCTCGCATATTGCAAAAACGCGGGCCTGGCAATAAATATATTTTTTAAATAAAATTTGATCCTAATTTTTTGATAATATATAATCCTTTCACATGGCAACCATGAATACGAAAGAAAAAAAAAAATGAAAACTAAAAATAATAATAAAATTAAAAAAGCATTTGGACCGTTAATTACACTTGTTTTTTTTATGGACGGCCTATTTGCATCCATCTTTAAGATAGATGCTTTATATATCTAGACTGCATATTATCGGAATGCGGTCCAACATGCATAAAACAATTTTTCATAATAAAATACATCACATTGTTGTTAATTGCATAATGTATTGGAGGATGTTCATGTTTCTAAAACTGTGGACAATGAGGAATTGTCAGATGTTGAAACTGATGGGATCTTCTCAGTCAAGTCAACCTGTTTCATTGGTTTGTAGGAGGTTGAAACTGATGGGATCTACTCGGTCAAGTCAGCCTATTCCATTATCTATCACGATCAAGTACGGTGGAGTTCCCCAAATTTAAAGGGGATTTCGAGATGGAAAGTAGCACATAAGATACGAGCTTTTGCATGGATTATGTTACTAGGTAAAGTTCTAACTTGTGACAATCTAAGGAAGAGAGGTAAAATCTTTGTTAGTGTGCCTCTTCTGTAAAAAATAATGCGGAGAATGGGACCACTTATTTCTTCATTGCCCTTTCTCTTCTGTGATATAGTGTTGGGCTATGCAAAAGATAGGAATGTCGCTAATATGTCCTAAATCACATGTGAAGATCATGGATCATCTCAAGTTGATAGGGATACCGAAAGTAGGATGCATGATTTACGATATTTTTAAGGAACTGTGGCTGGAAAGAAATAGAAGAACTTTTGAAGATGTTTCCTTAGAGGTATCAGGGGTCAATAGTAGAATCTTGAACTCAGTTTGGAGCTAGTTTAGTATCTCAAAGGAAGGAATGGGGGTTTCAAGGTGGATGTTGACTTAAATGTGGCTAATACCACTTAGTACTTTTAAGTTGTTAAGGTGAAACCGAAATGTAGAGGGAGCCACTATTGTTAGGTTGTATAAAATTGAAATTTGATGGGTCTATCTCTGGATAATAAGTTGCCACTTTATTGTGAGGTGTTAAATTTTTAAGGAAAGGCAGATTGGTGGTTACTATGTGATTCATGGAGAATTGTTTAATGTTATCAGTTGGTACAAACATCTAGGTTACTGTAGCGCCTAAGATTTCTACTAAGGCAGGTTTTAGATATAATATTGTTTTAGATATTATATCCTAGTGGAGAGTGACATTCAGGGCGTGTTTGATAATAGGAAGTGTTTTTCAAGAACTTGGAACCTACCTAATATTGTTCATGTTTGGTGTTTGATAAAGAAACAGAAGTTAAATGGGGGGACTTCACTTTACTTTTCATTGTTAAAAAAATTCTCACCAAAGGTCGGAACTTGAAATTGGAAATTTTTAAAAAAATTCACCCCGATATGTTATGCCCTAAAACATGTTATTGCCTTCATCGCCCCAACGAAGCTAACTCCTCTTGTCCTCAGGTCTCTTGCCCTCCGCCCGATCAACCTAAGCAACTCATCCTCGCCCTCATCGCCTCCATTGCTGCAAACTTGAAGCTCAGAAAAAACTACAATGAATTTTTTTTTTCATATTTTTATATTTTTTAGAGCTCAAAGAAGATGACCCTAAATAAAAACAAGTGCTGGCCTTGCTGGGCAGAGTTTCAGCTGCGGCTAGTTGGGTCCGCCTCTTTTATAGAGAGGCCAACGTTATTGTGGATGGATAGGCTAAGAGGGGTACATCTTTGGATTCTTTGGTTGTTTTTGAGTCTTTACTTTGAATCTTGTATTGTCATATTTCTATTATCTAATAAAACTAATACTCGTCACAAAACAGAAAAGCATAGAAGACACAAAAATTGGTTTCAATAGTAAATTGGTTTTCATATTGCTGACAATCAAAGTCCCAAAAAAATCAATAAATCTATAAATAAATAATAATAATAATAATAATAATATCCAATAATATGTGAACAATCTTTGAAACTTGGGAGCAGGAAACAAGGTCAAACTATCAAATAAAAAGCCACCAATTCAAGAAATATGAGGACTTCAGCAACCAATGCTTTTATTGGGATAGTTTCAGCAACCAATACTTGAGAGTAAATTTATTAGCATTAGTTGACTTTCAAAAACCAACATCAGGGGTACAACCTTCATTCTATACATCTATATTCATGAAATTTCTTAAAGAAAAAAGAATGAATAAAAAAAAAAGGAAAAAAAATCTCAAGTCCCCATCAAGTGAGATCTGAGAAGGCAATTGTGAACTAAAGAGTACTATTACACCTATAACCAGAAATATAGATTAAATTTTCTACGGCAATGAACTCTTATGAAAATAAAAATAAAAATAAATAAATAAAACTTTAGGCAAGGGAGTCAAAAATGAAGGAAAAATGGTTACCTAACATGGAAGTGGTCAGCAATGTCCGGTAGGCCAAGGTAGAAGGCCACAGCATCACAAAAGGCCATGTAAGTGTGGATATGGAGGCCATCGATCCTCGGACTCGGAAGCCTAACCAAGCTCCGATGGTCTTTAGGTATCCACCTACCTCGAAACCGATACTCCTTCCACTCGTTGTGTGTTGCCGCCGTCGGCTCTTCGGCTACGAACCCGAGGGTGGCCATGATGGGCTCGAGTTCATCCTGTGTCAAGATGGGCCTAAAGGTGTTGGTGTGCCATAGTGCAAGCTTCCTGACCAGCCCTGCGCCCACAAGCTCCTCCATCTTCATTCTCATCATTCTCCCCTTTGATTCTTATATGAAACTACAGAGAGGAGTCTCTCTCTCCACGTTCAAAGAAGGAAGACTCACTCTCTCTCTAGAGCATCTCTCTCTCTCTCTCTCTCTTAACTGTGGAAGTGCATGGGGGGGCTCGCCATGAGTAATATTGAAAACCCTAGGCTTTCAGCGCCTCTCAAAGAATCTGAGGGCTTTGTCCCCCTTTTCCCTTTGTTTATGTGCTAAACTTTGGGATTTTTTTTTTCCTAACATTGGATAGAATCCCCATGTGATTGGATGTATTTGGATCCAATTCAAATTGGACTTGTTAGGGCCAAGGCATCCCCACCCCTTAAATTTGGGGAGACGGTTTCTCTAATTGATCCACTAGAAGAGGAGCTTATGACATTTGGAGGATGTTTTCTATGCACTTTTTTTTGTTTGGGTGGGCATTTGTGTCCACATGCTGTGGACATTTAAAAGGTGCTAATTCCTAAAACTCTTTTCAATGGTTCAGATTGACCAAGTCTCATCAAACGGCTAACAATGAATTTTTTTTTTTATTTAAAATTATATGAATTGGAAATTTGAGCTTTAGCTTTGTTTTATAAGTAATTTTTCATTAAAAATAATAATAATAATAATATTGGATGAAAATATTGATCAAAAAAATTTAAGGGTATTTTGGTTATTTTCTTATCTATTTTTTAAGCTTAATGGTCTCATCGTATACAATCCCTATTTTTAATACTTCAAAAAACTTTTTTTCTCATGTCCATATATCTTTGAAGTTGAGATGATCGAATTGAGGGTTTTTCAACATCGAAATAATTTTTTTTAATAAATTTTGAAATGCACTTTAATTTAATTGTTTAAAGCCTCACATTTATATAAACTTTTTCCTTTCTAATTAGTGCTTTTGTTTTAAGGGTAGGGTATAACCTTTTTTTTGGAATTTTGGATGGTTTCTTAGTTTGCATGCATTTATTATTGGGAAAGCTTTACATGTAACCCCACGAACATATAAAGTACGAAAAGTATGCAATATGACCATTTATTTTTTATACAAATAGGTAAACAATCACCGTTAACTGTTAGATTGAATGGATGGTTGCGGACGTGTAATTGTAGTTACAAAATACAAAACAAAATTTTTTGAATGTTGTGAAACACTTTCATCTATTGAATTTTACATCCAATGGCTAAAAATCATTGTGACGTCCTTGCACAAAAAATAAATAGCCTTATATGATATAATCCCTATAAAATATTTGTGACCCCTACTAACAGCCGTCAGATCTGAGTAGATGGCTAAGATAGCTTGAGTCATAATATCACAAGTTGGTTCTCGAGCGTCAGATCTTGATATGACGGTTCAAAGTGTTTTATTTTTAATATTTATTCTACAAATCATCTTGTAGTGAAATTTAGGGCATCCATACATCTAATAGGAACACACATGATAAAATAATAATAATAATATTTCACTTGATGAAAAATGACCAGAATTTTCCCAAAACTTGGACATTTTGGTCATTTATGTTCAAGAGAAATAATTTTGTTTTATTTTTTTAAGTGCGCCCCAATAAGAAGATGGGACACCCCAAGTTTCATTAAAAAATACTTTGTAGAAAATAAAATCAAATCAAATAGTGTTTTAATGTGACATTGTGACGTGAGCAATCTTAGCCTTCAATTCAAATCCAAGAAATTAGATATAATTTATTTGTAAGTGGGATCACAATCGCTACCTAATACAAACAAGTCACAGCCAAAAATAAGGAAAGGATTCGATAATAAAACTAAGGTATAAGAAAACTAAGTATAGAGAGGCGAGGAAATAAACTGAAGTTCAAATTTTCAAATGAGAAAATCTACAATAAAATGCCTATTTGGAGCCGTATGGGAAAGGAAAAGAGGACTGACTTGCTTGGGTTTATTGTTGTGGCTGGCAACGGGCCAGGCCAGCCTCTAGCCAAGGCTGGGCTAAGCCCTATCCGGGCTCGACTGGGCCAGGCCAAATAAAATGAAAAATGTTATGAGAGAGCAAAAGAGAATGAGGGCCAGGCCTGCGTTCACCCAGTCCCAACGCGGCCCTATCATTAAGTTGTGGTCGTCTACCATTAGGACCATATTTTGTGGCCCAGACCCTAGTTTTTTAGGACTAATCAGGCAGGGCCGAGCCACCCGACCTACTGCCGACCCTATTTATTGCATATGCTTTCCAAGGCTATTGCTCGGAATTAGAGTTGATTTCTACGACCGTGGGTGAATTCCATCAGGAAACCTTTTGGAAAACCCGTTTGATTTCATACTTTGTTGGGTTATAGAAAAGTATAAACTACGTCTTGTGCAAATGTCATTCCTTTAGAAAACTTCCCTTCCAATTATGGAGATAGATTTAAGATATCAAATACATCTTAAGTCATTCTAGAGGCATTTTGATTTTTGCGATTTTTTTTTCAAAAGAAAAACCATCTACTCTTAATCTACGTGAAAATGGTGTTCCAATGCTGAAAAAGCGTACAATTAATCATCTCGATCTTGACATATATGGGTATGAAAAATGAAAGAAAGACCTATGTAATTTTTTTTTGGAGAATATATATATATATATATTTTTCACCCCCTTCTTTTAGCAAAAGATAACTTACAAGTGGTCTTTATTACAATAATATAAATTTCAAAATAAAATCAACATACCAATAAAACCAAGATCTTAACAATTTGATGTCCTTGAAACAACTATGTACTATGCTTGAAAATAAAAGATAAGATTGCAAGAAACAAAAAGAAGAGTGATGGAGATTACCTCAACCAGGCTTATTACACCCCACACCGAGTCACCACCATCCGATGACGCGGGATCAATGATCAACCTTCAATCTCAACCGAGAAAGTAAGTTTAGGCCAAGCTACACCAATAAAACATGAACTCACTTGATCACAAAATCAAACCCTAGGTGAATTCTCTTAGCAACCTAGTTTGAGAGAGATAGATTATTTTTGCTAAACCCTAAAACCCCTAACCATAAATCCATAGTTAAGAGATAAGATAGAGAAGAACTTCATAACCTAAACCCTTAGGTTCTTTCACAATGTGGGAGAGAGAGATCAAAGATGAGAGAGTGGTGCGTGCCCCATTTGGCTTTTATGAGAGAGAGAAGCTTTTCTTAAGAGAGAGAGAAATTCTAAGTGGAGCGTGTCTTTTGTGGGATATGAGAGAAAAAGATAGGAATTAGGTACTAGAGATTTTTGGGTAGAGACAATCTCTTTTTATAGGCTTTGAATAAAATTAGGGTTTCTTATAGTTTTCATTAGCTTGCCACTTCTTATGAGATTGAATATGAACCATTGATCTTGGGTGACTTGTGAAGTGAGAGATTTGAGTAATACATTCCATAAATGGGTCAACAACATTGTGGAAGGTGTATGAACCATTATCCCCTTTCTTAAACCATTTTCCCATCAATATAAATTAAATCTAATCAAAATATTGTGCATACCATAAAATAACACAAGTCTACTCAATCTTTCCACAAAATCTTTCAAAGAGATATCAAGTCAATATTTAGTCAATATCTTCCAATCATATAGCTATATGTCATACCACCAAAAAATAGGAAAGAGAATAAGGGTGGGGCATGCCACTCAAGGGAGGCACTCATGGGCCCCACCTTCTAGAAATATGGTGAGCCCATGTGCACAATGGGCCCCCATGATTTTTATATGTTTAAAATTAATAAAAGGATTTCAAGAAACTAAAGGAAAAAAGCTGGAGATTACCTCAACCGGGCTTATTACACCCCACACCGAGTCACCACCATCCGATAACGCGGGATCAATAATCAACCTTCAATTTCAACCGAGAAATCAAGTTTAGGTCAAGCCACACCAATAGAACATGAACTCATTTGATCACAAAATCAAACCCTAGGTGAATTCTCTTAGCAACCTAGTTTGAGAGAGATAGATTATTTTTGCTAAACTCTAAAACCCCTAACCATAAATCCTTAGTTAAGAGATAAGATAGAGAAGAACTTCATAACCTAAACCCTTAGGTTCTTTCACAATGTGGGAGAGAGAGATCAAAGATGAGAGAGTGGTGCGTGCCTCATTTGGCTTTTATGAGAGAGAGAAGCTTTTCTTAAGAGAGAGAGAAATTCTAAGTGGAGCGTGCCTTTTGTGGGATATGAGAGAAAAAGATAGGAATTAGGTACTAGAGATTTTTGGGTAGAGACAATCTCTTTTTATAGGCTTTGAATAAAATTAGGGTTTCTTATAGTTTTCATTGGCTTGCCACTTCTTATGAGATTGAATATGAACCATTGATCTTGAGTGACTTGTGGAGTGAGAGATTTGAGTAATACATTCCATAAATGGGTCAACAACATTGTAGAAGGTGTATGAACCATTATCCCCTTTCTTAAACCATTTTCCCATCAATATAAATTAAATCTAATCAAAATATTGTGCATACCATAAAATAACACAAGTCTACTCAATCTTTCCACAAAATCTTTCAAAGAGATATCAAGTCAATATTTAGTCAATATCTTCCAATCATATGGCTATATGTCATACCACCAAAAAATAGGAAAGAGAATAAGGGTGGGGCATGCCACTCAAGGGAGGCACTCATGGGCCCCACCTTCTAGAAATATGGTGAGCCCATGTGCACAATGGGCCCCCATGATTTTTATGTATTTAATATTAATAAAAGGATTTCAAGAAACTAAAGGAAAAAAGCTGGAGATTACCTCAACCGGGCTTATTACACCTCACACCGAGTCACCACCATCCGATGACGCGGGATCAATAATCAACCTTCAATTTCAACCGAGAAAACAAGTTTAGGTCAAGCCACACCAATAGAACATAAACTCATTTGATCACAAAATCAAACCCTAGGAGAATTCTCTTAGGAACCTAGTTTGAGAGAGATGGATTTTTTTTTCTATACCCTAAAACCCCTAACCATAAATCTATAGTTAAGATATAAGTAGAGAAGAACCCCATAACCTAAACCATTTGGTTCTTTCACAATGTGAGAGAGAGAGATCAAAGATGAGAGAGTGGTGCGTGCCCCATTTGGCTTTCATGAGAGAGAGAAGCTTTTCTTAAGAGAAAGAGAAATTCTAAGTGGAGCGTGCCTTTTGTGGGATATGAGAGAGAAAGATGGGAATTAGGTACTAGAGATTTTTGAGTAGAGACAATCTATTTTTATAGTTTTGAATAAAATTAGGCTTTGAATAAAATTAGGGTTTTTTATAGTTTTCATTGGCTTGCCTCTTCTTGTGAGATTGAATATGAA